AGCTGATGAAGAAGTATTACATGTTTTGACAAATTTAAGATTGTCAAGACCATGCTTCATCTAGACGGCTGCTCCAACAGTTATCTAATCTGTGTCTTTATGACTGAAATAACCCGTTTTTCAGATATGAGACAACAAAACAGGCAGCTTGGGAAGTATGGCGTGGCTGCTGTGTGTTCTCGTCAGACGATCCTCTGTCTGTATCCTAGCCCGGTCACCTCTCAGCTGCATGACCTCAGACAAGGTACTTAACCTCTCTGTGCACAGAAGGGCTCAGGGTTCCCACCTCGCAGGGACACCACGAGGACTACACGGACCACACCAGGGACATGAGGAGGAGGAGGACGAGGACAGTCTTTGTCAGGCACAAGTATTTGTGTCATATGAAACGGAAGGAAAACACTCCCTGGAAATCCCAATAGTCAGTGTGTGAGCTCCTGCTCCATTTTCTAAAGATATGTTAGTGGGAAATATACCAACGCCGGGTCATGTCTTCCAACAGTGCCCTGAAATGGAAATCTATCCACTATTCAAATCAGAAAAAGAAAAAACACAGATTTACATCTGAAAACTGAAACACAACCACCCTGGCTAAATTCACCCGTGACACGCCCCCCATCTACACTTTCCCCTCAAGATGTTCTTTTTTTTTTTTCCTGGAGACAAGAGCCTGTTTATTGGGCAGGTGGGTGGGCCAAACCCTCACTCCTTGAGGGAGAAGCGCATCTTGTCCATCATCCTGCGCTCCAGATTGAGGCGCCTGAGGATCCGGGCAAGCACGCTGACCGTCTGCTGGCTGCTCAGCCCATCTTCTTGGTCTAGAACTTCTTTACCAGGTCCTGGGTGGTCATGGGCTTCCACATCAGGTAGTGGTGCACGGCGTGGTCACCTGCACGTCCCCGCTGCTGGGGGTCAACTTCCCGGACCAACTGCAGTGCAGGGTCCAGCCTCCAGCGCTCGGCCATCAGCGCCTCTCTTGTCCGCTCGCCCTGCTCCAGCTTGCTGGCGGCCGCCTGCAGGGTGGAGGAGGCGGTGGCACTCTCCATGCTGGGCGTGCCAGGCCGGCTGCTGCCTCCTGAGGGCTTCCGCTCCCTCTCGGGGGGCGTCGTCTTCTCCACGAAGAGGGCTGAGGCGGCTCACTGTCACTGCCGCTCTCCTGTGAACTGTGCGACCATCGCTGCTGTCTCTCCTCCACTTCTCCTGAGGCGTGGGCACCTCCTCCTCCTCCGCGGGCGGCTTCTCCTCCTCGCCGCTCTGGCTCTGCTCTTCGATGGCCTTGGGGCCCTCCTCCTGCTGGGAGGCCTTGGGCTTGCCCTCCAGCTCGTCCAGGGAGCTGCTGGAGCCATCAGACACGTAGTCCACCTCGGGCCCTCGAGGTCCCCGTCATCGCTGTGCTCCGAGGCCTCGTCATCTGATCCCTTCTTCTTCTTTCTGCCTAAATTGCTGGGCGGTGCCTTCTTCTTGGCCTTGGGGGCTCTGCTGCCCTCCTCACCACTGGCCTCACTGTCCCAGACGACATCCCCAGGTCGTGGATGTGCAGCTCGCTGGCCTTCTTCCGGCTGTGCTTCTCTTCTCCTTGTCCTCCTCCTCCTCGTCGTCCTGGCCCTGGTCCTGGTCCTTGAGCCGCCGCTGCTGCATGATGCTGGTGGTTCAGGACGTTGTGCCGTCTCTCCCACTCCTCCTCGGCCTCCTCGGCAGTGAGCACGCGGTGCCGGGCCAGTGTGTGAAGTTGGACCAGTCATGCATAGGGAAGGCCTCGAGGGCCCCGTCGGGGCACTGGGTGAAGATGTGACAGGATGTGTTCTCTGCCACGCCTCCCTTCTTTTTGCCCTTGAACCTCCTGCCTGCTTTGCTGTTGACACGGAGCAGCCAGGGCTGGTCCTCTGGCCGCAACTCCTTGAGGATGACGTCGAACTTCTTCCTGCGAGCCTCCTCCCAAAGGCTGTGGTTGAACCCGCTGCCTGCGCCCGACTTGGGTATCTCCCCATCTTGGTAAATCTTCTTGTTGCTCAGGTCACGCTCCAGCCAGGCCTGATTCCAAGAGGCGAGGTTGACTTTATGGGCTCACGGAAGGCCATGATATTGTCTTTTTTAGTTGTGTTTTTTGGGAACTCAAACGACATACTCAGTGACATTCTGGCTGCCGGGGCCGAAGGCTGCCATGGTGATGGTCTGTGGTTCAGGTCCAGCCCGATCCAGGTCTTCTGGCCTCCCCGGGGTTCCATTTCCCTCAGTCCTGGGGAAGCCACCCTCGTGGTGTCGGTTCTCTGGCCCCGATCAAGGAGCCCAAGCCCGAGACGCCGCCGATCTTGGGAAAAATCAACCCGGAAGCCCAAGATGTACTTTCAATGCAGACACATTTCCCAACCTCCCTCCTGGGAAGCCAGGAAAGGCTTATCCATCAGCTTATCCCCGAAACACAGAGAGCGGCCCAGCCTCCAGAAGGCACATACATTTGTTACTATTGACTTTAAAAACAAAAACAAGACCCAGCCCCATGACGTTTCTGGGTGCAGCAGCCCTGCTCCAAGCACTGCAGACCTGATGCCCTGAACTCCCAGCACCCACAGGGACAGGGGCTGCTGCTCAGGATGACGGCTCTGCCGGCACTCGTCTCCTGGACGTTCCTGTCTCTCTCTCAAGCAAGTAGAGGTGTCTGCACTGGGGTTATTGCTCAGCCCCCTGGGCCAGCAGGGGAAGCACGAGGACGCGGCAGTGGCTGCACACGACGAGTCCCCAGTGCCCTACTCCCTGGAGCACCACAGTGGGGGCAGGCAAAGAATGAGGCTCCAGTTCTGCTTTTCTCTATTTGGTGTCCATAAACATTTCATTTGTAGAAAGGACTCTAGGCTGAAAGGCTGAAACCCCACTGTTCCAGCCCAACACTGACTTCAGACACGACATGAGTAAGCTGAGCAACCAGGCAGACGAAGGAACGTGCGACAGCCCACAGCTGAGCCAGTAGGCTTCCCAGGCCACGGCCAGCTCCTAGGCAGAGGCCTCTCCGCCAGCCACCAGCCCTGCTCGCCCCCCCCCATAGGCTACTAATAACAGCCATCCTTTCAGAAACGTGGAAACGTTCATTTCAGTCTTTTCTTCCACTCCACCCATCTTCATACTTGCATTAAGATTAGAAAAAATAGGAAAACACAACTGCCAACTTTTCCTTTCATTTCCACTTCTGCCTTTTGCTATACAGTGACATGTTCAAGGCTTCCAGTCTGTGAGTGGGACAGCACGCCTCTTAGTAATGCAGTAGATCAAGCTCTCCGCATCGCACGACATACAGGACAAGTACCTCCTTCAGCAAGTACACACGTGAACTGCACACATTTAACAGGCAGATGTTTATTCTTTGTGCTTTAGGGGAAAAAGACAACTAGTCCACCAAAGCCACAAGTTAACGAACAACACTGCTCAGGAAGAGGAACATGACATCTCCCTCACACAAACGCATTTAATAACAGGCCCCAGAGCCCAAACCCGTGCATGTCTAAAATCCAAAGTAAACGGACTTTAATCACAAATATCTGGAAATATGTAAAAACGGATAAAACAGAATGCACATTACATTCTCAAAGCCATTGATTTTAACCTAATTGGCAAAATCTACTTTGCATGACTGTTGTGGTCTTACAAAGCTAACATAATTTGCTTTTATTCCCCATTGTATTTAAGTTTTTATCATTACCTAATATTTATGGCTTGTATTTCTGTTTTTATTGTTACCTTCTATTTGTGGCAAGAGATGGTTTCCCAAAGATGGTCATGATATGCTAGCGAGTGGAGATACACAAGTTATCAGATCTATGGATATGGCAGAACCATGAAGGTGACGGGCAAATGAACGAAATTTGAGAAACGCTTTATCAACCCGCAGAGACACGAGAGCATACTTATGCTACCTTCACAGCTTTACTCTCCACACTGAATAGCACAGATAGCTACATGACGGATCCACGTGTTCACTTACGCAGAGGCAGGTCTGCTTTCACCACACAGTCCCTGAGGGCACTTTACCGATGCAGGCCTTCCGCCACAGTCAGGAGGCCTCTCACACCCTCCCACCACTACAGCGTGCTGACCAGGGTGTGTGAGCCTTTCCATACAAATAACTGGGCATGACTGCTACAATGAGAGGCTCGGGGTGCTAGGGCCAAGGAGGGTCTCTTCCATATTTAACAATCTATGACTAAGACTCACACAATCAGAACTGATTTGTTAAGTGGTTTCCATGTGGAGCGGCAGTCACCAGTACCGGTGGGTACCTGTGAAATCTATTAAGAGAATATAGTACAAGTGGATGTTATTATTTAACAAAGTATCTCGATTTTCTTTTTGGATATAACTATGTCACACAAAAAAAGATTTCAGGGAGAGAAAAGTGGCTTCTGCATTCTGGTACCTATGGACGTTAGGATTTATAACACATTTGTCACTTAAAATACATGGCTATTTAATTCTTTCAACATGCATATGCTTTCTCTAAATTATAAGCTCTTCATTCACTTGAAAATGCTATACAGCAGTGAGTGTACCCAGCAGCGTGCCAGCCAGGCCCTCAAGCATGAGCTATGGGCTCTGTCCACAAGGAGCCCCTTGTCCAGCAGCGGATCCAAGACCCAGAGAGGAACCTGCACACCGAGAGTGCAGCCCTTTCAAGGAGAGATGCACGAGAGGGTCACCGTGCCCCACTACCCTCACCACAACTGACACTTCCATCAGTCCAGCTCCCATCAGGCTGGAGGGGAATCACTGCCCAGGGGCTCCTCAAGGTGGAAGGACAGACCGAGGCACACTTAGGACAGGCCAGGGAGAAGGGAATGGACGGGGACATGATGGCACACTCCTGCTCAACGTGCAGTGAGGTACATGAGGCTGGCCACTGCGAGCCAAGACCTCCTCTCTATAGGGGAGAGAGGGCCTCACGCAGGTGATCTCACATCCCACACAACCAAAGGCACACCTGCCACCTACAAGATAGTTTCCGAATTGCTTACTTGTGGGACGTCCTTTTCTTCATCATGCTTGCAGATACACCAGCATGGCCTAAAAGAGAAGTGAGTATAAGTCAATGAAAACTGGTTAAAAAAGAGTTCAAACTTGGGAAAAAATAAACTTCTGAAAAACTGCTATATAGAGCATGAAATGAAAATAAACTGCAAATAGCCAATATGTAAAAAGTCATTTGTTTACTTAACTTTAAAAAGGAGACATAAGGAGTTCTGGAAAGATAAATGACAGGGACACCAGTTCATCTCCCCAAATCGGCCATAAAACACAAAACCAAAATCCCATGCACAAGAACTACCCCAAAAACAAAGTGACAATCCTAGCCATAAAGCACTAAAGGTAGAGAACTTGTCTTCCTGCCACAAACAACTAGAAAACGGGACAGAAGATATGAAACACCCAGAGGCAGACATGGGGGCGACAGGCAGCACAGGCCTACGGAACCAGGGAGCTCCCTCGGGGCCCACACTAACCCGGACCACGTCCCAAGAGCAATTTGTGGACAACGGTACAGGACGGGGAAACCACGACCTGGTTTTGCTACGCTGAGTCAGACTGCAGCTGGGGAGGGCGAGGCGGCTGGAAGTCGTGGAAGAGAGTGCTGGCAACAAGGGAGATCTCCAAACACCTGGGGTGTCTTAAGTCTGGCTAGATACTAATTTGGGAAGGCATGAAAGTTGTTTGAAAGTCCACGGGGGACAGTCAGTAAAAAACACAAAAAGATGACCCCTTAGCAGGAAGGCAGCAGTGGCCTTAAGAATAAAAGCCGCTGCAGACCCATCCCAGCATCTGCTCGCCAAAACAAACTCCAATACTCACTAAAGGACATCAACAAACCCCAACGCTCCGCTCCACCACATATTTCCAATGTCCAATGCCCCAACAAAAATCACTATATGCAGAAAAGCAGCAACTATAACCCCAGAACCAAGCCAGTTATAACCAAAATGATGTAATTAACAGCCAAAGATGTTAAAAGAACTATAATAAATATGCTCAAATATTTAAAAGAAAACACACTCAAAATAGAAAAACGGGGAAAAAAGAAAAGACACAAATGAAACTGGTGAAAAACACATGATCCAAAATGAAAAAAAAAAAAAAAAAATCACTGGATATGATTAATAGCAGATTAGATCCCGCAGATAAAAAGATCAGTGAACGTCAGACATCACAATAATGCAAACTATCCAAAACAACACACAAAGGAAAAAACTGGGGAAAACGAACAGCCTCAGTCACCTGTGGGACAACATCAACTGGCTTAACGTAAACAGAACTGGACTCCACGAAAAAGAGGACAAAGTGGTGAAGGAAGGAAAAATCTGAAAAAAATAATGGCAGAAAGTTTTCCAGATGCGGTAAGTATACAACCACACAGCCAACAAGCTCAACAAAGCCAAAGTAAGATAAAAACAAAGAAAACCACGCCAAGGCACATACTGATCACATTTCTGAAAACCACTGACCAAGAAAATATTTTTAAAACAGCCAAAGAATAAAGACACATTAAATACAGGGAAAGAAAGAAAATATTGGCTCCAGATCTGCTGTCAGAAACCATGTTAAGCCAGAAGACAGGGGAATAAATCTTTAAGGTGCAGCTAAAAGAGATAAACAAAACAACCTACATGTGGACTAGAATACTATATCCAGCAACAATACCTTCAACCCAACAATATCAATGATGATATTAAATGTAAATAGTCTAGGGCCGGCTCCGTGGCTTAGCAGTTAAGTGCGTGCGCTCCGCTGCTGGCGGCCCGGGTTCGGATCC